TTTCGCACACTCTTCTGCCTTTTTCACTTCTTCCTCGGCTTCCTTCTCTCTTCCAAGATAACGCAAGACAATCGACAAGGTTTGGTATGTGTGAATCAGCTCTTCGTGTGTGTCTAATACTTCCTCTTGTAATTTAGCAGCCTCTTTCAGGTAATCAAGGGCACTAAAAAGATGAAGCAAATTAATACTAAGCTCTTTCGTTACTACGCTTGCCGTCTTTGTTGTGGTGAATTTCCTAAGGGAAAATCATGTTTCATGCAGGCGCAAAGAACATGGCGCTCATGGTTAACGGCAGAAATCCAAGTTCTTGTTGCCAAATTCGGCTCTGTGTACACCTAAATAAGTGAAAATATTTGAATTTCCTTTGAACAAGAATTGCTTCCAATTTTTCTTTCGTGTGGATTCAAGGATCGAAGAGAAAATGGGCAAAACCGGAGTTCAGATTTACTGTAAGCTGATTCCATCAACATCATTCTGAAGTCATTGATGATGGTTTTTATATCTTATTCTAACAAATATCTCTGTTTATATTTGTACAAAGATAAAGCACAGGAAAAAAAAACTTTTCCAACACTTAAATTCCATTATTCCTTCAGGTCAAACAGTAACAGTCAAAGTTAGAAATTACGTGTTGGAAATGCTAAGAAAGTCTTTGTCCTGGAATTCCACCTTCGAGTCAATGTTTCGTGCTGTTCTACACACTTTTAAAAGAAAGGAATCAGTTCAATGTGTATTAAATATTACACTGTTACAGTGTATTCTTTCACCTTTGGTAATCTCCCTTCGCGCTAAACGCCTCTCCCAGATCATAAAGAGACTTTGCAGTTTCCTGATGTTGCCCCAGCAGTTGCCGTCGGAGGTTTACTGATGTGCTGCTGTATTTGATGGCGCCGGTGTAATCACCCAAAGCGTAGTAACTGTTGCCAATCCAGTTAAGTGTTGTTGCTGTGAAAGGATGATCTCCGAGGTTCTCTTTATAAATAGGAAGCACAGAATCGAGTCTTGTTTGAATTGCAAGCAAGTGGTTCCGTTGAACCATTTGAGAAGCTGCAAAAGGAAAGAAAAACGCAAACTTAAATGGCACATTGCTGTACTCATCTCCCATTTCTTTAGGTTTTTCTGGCAGCAGAACTATTTTAGTTAGGACTGTATAAACTTTGCGAATAATAGTTACAATGAAAATCGTCGCGCAAACACGAGCTTCATATCAGATCCGGCTTTTAAAACATTCAGCTTACAAGTCATGTTATTTGAAGAAAGTAAAGGTGATACTTGGCTTCTGCAAAGTTTCAATGCATCTCGAAACTTTGAGGTGGTGTGGAAAACACGTGGTGAAGGTGACATTTCACTTTTTTTTACTCTCAAAAGTTAAAGTCTGGAAAATTCCTAGAGAGGGGAAGTTTCTTAACACTGTGGTGCTATGTCGGTGAGGGAGTTTAACATGATA